GCATTGAAGGCTTGTACTTAAAATCAAACTGAGAGCTATCATTTCTCATACAGCTAGGATATAATGCAGCTCTGTAAATATTTATTAATGTTATAGTGGTATAATATAACAAACATATGGTTGCAGTTTATTATGTGATAAGATGTTTGAATATTAAAATGAATATTTTGACACAAGATGGTAAAATATATATTTGTAATCTTGGGGAATTTTCAATTGGTGGGGCCACCTGTCCCCTCTCATGAGTCTATACAACCCTAGATTTTGGTCTAGAACCAGTACCCATCAAGAATTCTTACAATCACACTAGAAAGGACATCACAAAACTCTAGAATGATAACTGCATTTACTAACTTCTTACATTTCAAACTCTTTTGTTAGTATTATCTCAACCATACAAATGTTCTGCTTGTGCTATTAGCATGTGATTTTGCTTTGGCCTCTACAGATTCTTGAGCTTTTAGGGAAACCGAGTGTCTTGCATTACAGTCCATATGTGTGTGCCTATGTGTACCTCGGTGTGTGTGTGTGTGTGTGTGTGTGTGTGTGTGTGTGTGTGTGTGTGTGTGTGCCTGTGTGTGTATGTGCCTATGTGTGTGTGTGTTAAGAATTCACTTACAGGGCTGGAGAAATGTCTCATTACCACATAAGCATTAGGATATAGTTCTTCTAACCCAGACCAATATAAAGAGCCAAGCTTGATGGTGTGTAACCACAACTCCTCACCCTGGGGCAGGGTGGAGAAGGCAGATCCCTGGAGTTAACTGGCCAGCTAGTCTATCTGAATAAGTAAGCTTCGGCCTCAGTGAGAGACCCTTCCTTCCTCAAAAATTAAAGGTGGGGCATGGTCTAGAAAGGATATCTGATATCCATCTGTGGCCTTGACACACTCATGCACACACATGCATCCACATTCACATGCACACCTTCACATACTAACAAGCATTTGACATCAAACACACAAAACACATAGAACACACATAACAACTCGCACACATGGTTTTAAAAAAGAATTCACTTACAATAGAGAGAAAAGTGGGTAAGCTCAAGAAAATATCTAGTAGCTTTCAAAAGTTACATATTTATATTTCTATCAGGCACATTAAGATATTCTTATAAAAACCTTTAGCTTAAAGCTTCATACGATGTTAATTTAGAGTCTTACTAGACAGTGGATTTTTTCAATGTGTGTTTTACCCAATAAATCTTATTGTAAAAAGTACCGTTGTTTTGATATGTAGATTTCTGACAACAGAACGCAAGGGTTAGAAGAGGCCTATCAACTGTCATTACAATCCATCTGGCACGTACATGTGTGCTAAATATTCTCCCAAAGCTTTTGGGTGGGTAGATACTGTGGCTTATGAAAATTCAAATACTGCTTATATTTCATCTAAATACCTCTACAAATGTTAACTCATTCTGTCTCAAAAGTGTTTCATGAAGTTAGGAAACCGTATGAGAGATCTCCCTCCAACCGGTACTGCTAATCATGGCAGCTGGAGTTTTGGTCACTGCTTGGGGACAAAGAGGAGTGGCTGACATTTCCCTGTTGAAGTTTTTGCTTTTAAGAAATGAGGAACACAAATTTTATCTCTTTGACTCAAATTCAACTGCAGCAGTCAACTCAACAATAGTATAAATTAAGTTGAAAATTTAATGAATTAGGTTTGGGGAAAAATTTAAGGATGAAAATATGAATAAATACCAGTACTTCCTAGACATGAATTTCTTTTTGAGACAGGATTTCATGTAGTTCAGGCTGACACTGAATTTGCTATATAGTTGAAATGACTGAATTTCTGATTCTTCTGCCTTTACCTTCCAAGTGCTGGATTACAGACATGAATTATCACTTTTGGTTTGTACTATGCTGTGGATCAAACACAGAGTTTTGTCCCGGGGAGGCAAGTACTCACTCTACCAAGTAAGCAATGCTCTAGTCCTTTTATACCAAATTTCAATGAAGAGTTGAGAGGTTTGTTGGTCAACAAAACACTTCATTTGTGGATTAAGAAACCAAAAAATCACTAGTCACTTTGTACCTGAAGCTTGATGTGAATAATTAAAAGCAAACAAAGCTGGTGGAATGGAAATGTAATGAGCTGGGGAAAATCAGCAGCCGATTTTCTCCAAATAAATTCTTCTTGTGTCTGATGACATTATCTTGTAATAAATACGACTGGTATGGAAGCAATGATTTAAGCTAAATTATTGTTATTTTAAAAAAAGAGCTTTTTGAGACCTGGAAACACAAAATCTGAGAGTAAATTAATATCGAGCTCTGAATGCCCATAATCACATAACCAGAACACTGGAAAAATTGTTCAAAAATATTATCCTCAGCTGAGTGCTTGCATAACATATTTCTGCCAAGAACAAATGATTATGGTGGAATTATAAAGCTTGGAAAATGGAAGTGGTGGCACAAACTTGAATACCATAGTGTGAATGCAGAACCAGAGGAACAGTTTTATCTTTATTATATTAAAATCTACAGCTGTTTGATGATGACAAAGGAACTACTGTTAGCCTCAGCCAAGTCTGTCTATTCACAGTAATGAATAGTCAATATGAACTAAAGGGCTTACTAAATGGATTCGAAGTGTATTCCTTTAGGACTTTTCTAGCAAAATCAAACTCTCTGCTGTTGGCCTTGAGAGCGTCTCTGATCTTTTTATAAGTGTGTCTGGACAGGTAATGTTGGCACTCCGACAGCCATTTTTTAATAGAAATAGAAGTCCTACAGATGGGATGCATGGATGGTGTCCCTCAGATGGTATTTTGAAGCAATCTTTTCCTGCATGCCAAGAGAAGGAAAGGTATCTACTGAAATCACCAACTTCTCACTACATCTAAAGAGACTCCACCCCCAGAGAACTCTGCAAACCTTCAGTGAGCCTGTATCCTGAAGCCAGCTTACCGAAGAGTGACACTTTGGGGCTAGATCAATTGACTGCAGAGGCTTCTGGGGTATATTCACAAAGTAGTGATTGTCACACAGTGAGCAGAGAGCAGCCGCTCTCAGAGAAGTAATTAGACTGACAGAAGGTGACATACCCCAAACAATAAATGGGAGAAGTCCAGGCAGGTAATTCAACCATCATGTGGCATCTCTACTCCCAGACATGTGGACATATGGACCTGCATTATTACATTTGTTCACCAGGAAAACCTGAAATATGTATAAACTGATGATGATAGATGGCAGGTGCTTCAACAATTCTAATGAAAGAGATGTAGGGTAACAGATTCCATTTCATTACTGAAAGGAATATAAATGAAAAAGAATACCACATGGAGCCTTATTTCTTGTCTTATGCATTATGTTATCAACTAGACAGTCTCTTTCCTATGCAATGATTTAAACTGACTTTTCCTTTTTAGCTATGTATTGTTTTAATTCTTAGTTTTCTTTTAAAAATCATCTCTTCTTAGTACAAAAGAGGTACCTAAATTATTGGTCCTTTTCAATTCCATGAAACTATATATCTCATCTTAAGGCGATTTAAGTAAAATGCTACATTTTTTCAAAAACTACCATCTCACATTAAAAGCTCAAACCAGCCAATTTCTCTCTGTCTATAGTTTCAGTTCTGAATAATGTATGTTTTCATTGTCTTCTAATTTTTTATCTGTGCCTAACTATACAGCTGAAATTTAAAACCCTTTTGTGAAAATCCCCAAATTACTCTCATTAACCTTTGTTAAAATCCAAATAATCACGCTTTCTTACATAATGGGCGCTTCCCTGACTTTAGGGTGTTCATGTGTCAAGAACATATGCAGGAATTATTACTGCTAGTTGCATGGATGCTGCGTTCACACCAAAACCAAGGAAGAAAGGCCATTGACTTAGGAGAGGCAGTTTTCTTTCTTCTGATTTCAAGTCTTCTGGGCCTGACCTCAGCAGCTGATGAGGACAAGCTCAGTGGACTTGAGCAGAGGAAGTCATGTAGGTATAGCAGGGTGAATGAAATGGATGCTGTGTGCGTGGACCCCCAACACCAGCTCAGGACACTTGGCCATCTGGGAGTGGCCACCCTAAGACGCGCCTGGAAATCTGTAATTAGGTCTATACATTCCAAGTAAAAAGCTCTAAATGGAGGTAAACAGAGCTCCATTTTGATTTCTAACAGAGCTCTTGGGCAGGGGAAGATGAAGTGCCAAGAAATTTCTCTGTAAGTTTTAATAAACAAAACTGTAAGCATTGTCTGTACCAAATTTACATATACCACGAATTCTTTTGTTCTAATTCCAGAAATGAAAAAGACAAGTCAATATACTGTGAATTTAGTACAATCAGCACTTTAGTCTTAATTAGATGAGTGAATCATATGGATGAAAAAATTAACTTGAAACAAATTATTTGTGGTGAAAATTTGAAAAAGTTGAAAATTTAAAACTATCATACTGTTTACCTCTAGATTAAGGTTAATTCTAAGCAAATCTTTTCTTCTACTGGTAAAAGATATGTGTGTGTGTGTGTGTGTGTGTGTGTGTGTGTGTGTGTAAGGAACTATAAATTTCAGTGTTTTTTGTTTAAGATTTTTTTTCTGTTATTTTAATTTTTAAGTAAATTTTTAATTAAAACAGAATTATACTTTCCCCCTTTTTCCTTCCCCTGCTTCTCAGGTACCCTCCCTCCAACTCTTCCCATGTACCCCTCTCAAAGTGATAGCTTTTATCTTTGGTTATTTTTACACACACACACACACACACACACACACACACACACACACACGCACAATCTCAAAGGAAATTAGGCCACTTGGGCTGACAATGCTCTTCGTAAGAATCATAGACTAGCTGGGCAGTGGTGGTGCACAGCTTTAATCCCAGCACTCGGGAGGCAGAAGCCAGGTGGATCTCTGTGAGTTGGAGGCCAGCCTGGTCTACAGAGCAAGATCCAGAAAAGGCACCAAAACTACACAGAGAAACCCTGTCTCGAAAAAAAAAAAAAAAAAAAAAAGAACCATAGACTAACAAAACCCCCGGTATCATGCATGAGAAACTTCCTTTCATATGGTTGGTCAAGGTAGTCCATTATAGACTATTGATATAGCCCATAGTTGCCTCCCATAGGTTGAAAGTAAACCTCTGTTACTAAAGATACCACACAGTTAGGACAAAGGTTTCGGGTAATTCAAGGTAGATCTAACCTGGAAGCCTGTGGTTTAACTTCTGTGGTTTCAGAAAATACTGTGTGAGCTGTCAACGGAGGAAGCATTAATAGTCCTAGATAGCCGCAATACCCACGACCCATGACAATGATCACCATTCCAAGATACGCATAAAAGTGCAACAAATGGCATTTACGTGCTTGTTGTGGTGATATACTATTTGTAATTTAAGAAACAAAACCTGTCTGAAGATCTGAGGACAGCACCAGCCACAGAGTTAGCTACAGAAGCCAGGCAGTGGTGGCACACACCTTTAATTCCAGCACTTGGGATCACACACCTTCAATCCTGGGACTAGCAAGGTTGAAGCAGGAAGTGATGTGACTGGGCAGAGAAAGGAATATAAGGTGGGAGGAGACAGGAATTCATGCTCTTTCTGGCTCTTTCAGGCTGAGGAGTTGGTGAGGTAAGAGGTGGTGGCTGTGCCTTGCTCTGCTTCTCTGATCTTTCAGCATTCACCCTGATATCTGGCTCCATTTTTTTTTTTTTATTACAAGACCAATTAGGATTCATGCAACAGTTTGTGGTAACCAACAGCTGTCTCTTAAGGTCTATTCAACAGGAGGGAAGTCATTCCTGGTAGTAGAAACCTAGCCAGGTTCCAGGAGCTAGTGGACTAGTGCAGTCATGGACTTGGTAAACAATCTACTAACAAGACTTTGCTAGAGCAGCATAATTTCTTACTTTATACCTACAGGTAAGTATAGCTACCACTCTTCATCAAAGATGCTTCTCTTAATCAAAATGCCAAGTTGTAGGGCTCAGTCCCACTGGATAATTTACAAAACATCTCCATATAAGACTCAGGGAACATTTGAGAAGAGGAGAAGGAAAGATTATAAAAGTCAGAGGTCAAGGATTTGTTATGAGATCGTGACTTCTAGAAATATCAGAAGCTGCACTTGCAAAGTCTCACCAACATGACTGCCTAAACATGAGCCGAACAAGGACAGCAGCATAGACATATCAGAGTGGATGGGTAAATGCCTAGGAGGACGCAACCTTACACTAAGAAGTACAGGCAACTAAAGAACACTGTGAGTGGGAGAAACAGTCTTCTGTGGGGAAGAGCACATCGATTGGTTATCCAATACCAAATGGTCAGCCCTGAAAACATACATACAAGTAACATTATGTAGACTGAGCAAGTTAGTTAGACATGTATATTTATATACATATGTAAGAGGCCACGAATTTGAAAGAGAGCAAGGAGGGGGTTGGAAGGAGAAAAGGAAAGAGGGAAATGATGAATTATAATCTCAAAAATAAAGAAAAACAATAAAAAGCAGCTTATTTTTATAACAATGGAGACCATTGTGGATTTTATTTTTGATTATGTCTATAGGTATATTTCTGGGTCTGGGTCTGGGTGGATACAGAGGAAGTTGGCTCTCCGGGAGCTGAACTTAGAGAGATTAAAGGACCAAACTTTACCTAAAAGATAGTATTAGAAGGACTAGAGAGAGGGCTCAGCAGGCAGGAGTGTGTACTGCTCTTCCATAGAGCCTGGGTTTGGTTCTCAGCACCACATTGGGTGGCTCACAACCACCTTTAACTTCAGATCCTCAGGATCTGATGCCAGTGGCCTCTGCTGGAACCCATACTCAAATGCATGTATCTCCTGTCTCCAAACACATATAATTAAAAAAATAAATAAAATTAAAGCTTAAAAAATATTGGAGTTGAAGGTTTTTTTTCCCCAGTAAATTATTTTTTCAGTAGCACCTAGGAGATCAATTAAAGATTTGAATGGCTTTTAACGTATCAAATATCATCCTATGTTTTCTAATGGTCACAGACTATTTCATGTAAGCATTCAGATATGACAACTCCTAAAATGATTAGGACTGCAGTGCGGATGACCCCAAGGTTCATCTGGCTCTCCTCCTGCCTCCCAGAAGGTGGGGAAGGAGTCACGATGCACATATAAGCAGTGGCAGGGCCACTCCTCCAGCTGGGCTCTAGAAGTAAGCCAAAGTGCAGCTGACATGCTATCATGTCAGCTTTGAACCTCCTGCATCACACAGTCAAAGCAATTTCTCTGCCATCCATGCAGGTACTTCATTGAACACAGTTTCTGTTGCAGCCTTGATCACCCATTATTCACCATTTATGTGCTTGCCTCCTTGGGTGCATTAAAGAGGCTCTTAACAAAGCTGTTCCTGTGTTTTCCTTGGAATTCTGCACACAACAGTCTGACATACTTTAGGTGCTCAATTCAGCAAATGCTCTAGACATGAAAGGGACACACATTTCCTCTTCAGTGTTAAAATTTGCTGAGGTTTCCCAACTGGGCCAAAGCTGTCTGGGCTGTGAGTTGGAAAAAGACTGGGATCTAGACCACTTAATGTACACTTGCCAACTGCTTCTCTGCCTTGGGTGTTGCCTCTGGTGCTCCAGATGTGAACTGGTTTTCTGACTATGTGGTTCAAATGGTTGCATGTTTTCTTGCTACTCTTGGGAGCTTCTTATAGCACAGGGCTGCTTACTTGTCATTCTGTATCCCCAGGATGTAGCATGGGACCTGGAACACGGCAAGGGATTAATAGATGTGTGGAACATAAATGACAGGCTTAAATGGATATATAAACCAAACAGAAGAACAGCCAAGTGTCAGGGGGAAGAAGAACAGCCTCAGTGCAGTGGTTTTTTTTACGGAAATTTCCATGTTTTTACTATTTTATTTACTACTTCATATTATCTTTAAAACTCAGAGTCTTATTACTTTTAAGTAACCATTACAAATTTATAGTTTTAAAGTTAGAAAACAATACAGAACTTTTCATAATTCATAATTTGAAGTTCCTTGTAACTTGGGAGTTTTATCCTTTATCCCACTGCTTAAAAATTAGTGGGTTGATTTAAATGTAAACCTCAGGATAGGTGATGATTCTACAATGATTATGGAAGAAAGTTATGGGTAGGTAATCTCTGTAAGGCAGAAGGAAAGAGAGAATGCAATTCATCATAGGAAAGGGGGAAAGGGAGAGGTATTTTAAGCACAATATAAATTATAGAAAAAGCAAAATGGAAACATTGCAGGAAGAGCATGGGGGAAGGTTTGTGGATATGGGAATGTACACATGCACAATGGGCATGTCTCTACACTCTTGTACACACGCACAATGGGCATGTCTCTACACTCTTGTACACACGCACAATGGGCATGTATCTACACTCTTGTACACATGCACAATGGGCATGTCTCTACACTCTTGTACACATGCACAATGGGCATGTCTCTACACTCTTGTACACATGCACAATGGGCATGTCTCTACACTCTTTACACACACACAATGGGCATGTCTCTACACTCTTGTACACACGCACAATGGGCATGTCTCTACACTCTTGTACACACGCACAATGGGCATGTATCTACACTCTTGTACACACGCACAATGGGCATGTATCTACACTCTTGTACACATGCACAATGGGCATGTCTCTACACTCTTGTACACACGCACAATGGGCATGTCTCTACACTCTTGTACACATGCACAATGGGCATGTCTCTACACTCTTTACACACACACAATGGGCATGTCTCTACACTCTTGTACACACGCACGATGGGCATGTCTCTACACTCTTGTACACACGCACAATGGGCATGTAGCTACACTTTTGTACACATGCACAATGGGCATGTGTCTACATTCTTGTACACATGCACAATGGGCATGTGTCTATACTATTGTACACATGCACGATGGGCATGTCTCTACACTCTTGCACACATGCACAATGGGCATGCTTCTACACTCTGTGGTCTTTGCTTCCCCTGAAGTGTTAGAAGCTGTTCGGCAGTCCTCTACTCTTCTAGGCTCTGGGATTAGTCTGATTGTGGAAGCACCTTAACCTGGGGAAGAATTTGCAAATGTGAGTGATTCCAGAGCCAATACGATGATCCAGACTTGCTTAGGACAGGCCAGCAGCTTAGAGTCCTCAAGCATCCTTACACCTCAACTCTTCTCGAATCCAGACATCATGTGGTTGGTGTAGACCAGCACTGAGCTGGGATGTCTGACATATTTCAGCCATGAAACACTCCCTGACATCCTGAATCCAGGATCGACCTAAAGCTAAATATTAAACAGGAAACATGATATGGACCTAATATGCTCATTAAAGTCAATCAAATTCAAGTGGATCTGAAAAATAGCTGATGTTGATGATTTCTCAAAAAGGGAAGAAAAAAAAAAGCAAGCCAGAATGAATTCAACAACACTGAGAAAGAGACGAAAGGAATAAATTAACAAAGATCAGGAAGCAGGTTTCGCGAGAGCGTGAAACGTGGATGTAACTCCATCTATGAATCTTTTTAGACTGTGGCACTTCCGCTACAAATCTGTTCCAGGGGAAAAGGCTGAATCCAGAGGCACTGGAGCTTTAAAAATAATTCCTCAGAGCGTTGTCTCATGAACCTATTAACAAAAGTTGATGCATATGCTATCTTCAGTAATTGCACTAAGGACGAACTGTGACTTTTTTTCCTTGTAGTTTCTTGTCTAGTCTTTCATTCATAAGCGGGGTCAATGCATGGCATCATTTGAAATGAGAGTGGCCTATAGCCTACACTCTCTTACCTGTCAGTGCAAAGCTGTGGCCAGTCACTGTGTGCCCCACTTTTTTACAGCAGTTAGTAGGATCTCTGTTTATTTCTTTTCTCAGTTTGTTCCTTGATTCTAGCTCACCCCTTATTCTAATCTGATTTCTGAAAAGGTCGCAACTTAGTTCTCTAAGCCAGAAGCCCAGAAAACATTCTCAATTTCATCACCTCCTCCCAACTCTTTCACCTTGCTCTTCTGTCTCATGTTCTCAGTCTGTTTGGTTTCTGACCCCACTTTCCACACAAGCCTCCTTTACATATCTGGCAGGGTTGAATTAAACTGAAATCTAATTGCATCGTTGTTGTCTTTACAAACCCTGTTGACTAGCAACAGCCACATCATACACAAGCTTGTACAGCAAACTCTCCACCTGCTTCTCTAGCCTCAGTTTTTCTCTTCTCTTCCAGAACACTGTGTTTTGACCAAGGGGAAATCTTCCTATAATTTAACCAAGTCTGTAGGAAGTTGCCAAACACTCTTGATTTGTACTGTTCATTCCTGTCTGGGATGTCCTTGCTTACTCTCCCTCTCTGCTTTGAAGACCATAGTCATCTTAGAAGAGCTACTCATAGTGCTTGTGTCTTTCTTGCTCCTGAGATATCTGGGGGCTACTTCTACCTGCAGTTACCACAAGGAAAACAAAAATATTTTTGAAGAACCAAAGTATTGCAACAGGTATCTTTGTACCTTTATTTTAGGATTCCCTAGGAACAAAGTGTTGCCCTTGATATACATTGTTGTTTGGATATCTGGTCTACCACTAGCTTATCAGAAAGACAGAGGATACATAAGTTTTTCTATGAAGCAACAAGATTTCATGCTAGCAATGGATTCACTTGTATCTTAGGAAGTTTGTTAATAAGTCAGAAGGAGACATACAAAATTTTATTTCTGAGGCAATCAGAGACTCCCAAGATATAGAGGCTACATTATTTCCTTGCCAAAAATGCTTCTTCCACTGGTCCCTCTGAAGACTGAAAGAAATTAAGAACTCTAATGGTCTTGACCCTGGCACATTTTCCCTGGCCCAATGGGAAATCCCTCTCTATGCCCTTCATGCAAAACATTGCTTTCATGTCTCCAGTTACAGGCCCAACACGAGCCAGTAACAGACCTCAATCTGAGATATAAATGAATTATTCACCAAGTTCTTTTCCTTTCTTTGAGTTTTTAGCTGGCAGGCATTGAGGAGTCCAAGGCCAGTTCTAGACTCTGAAGACAGGCTTCACTTCTGGCATCTTCAGCCTCTTGAACATTTAGCACTTTATAAAGCAGGCTATTGTCATCCACTGGTCACATTCTCCACTGAAATTTTGTCATTCTGCAGGGATTTGACGGCAAAGGTGGGGAAGGGCCTCTTCTGCACCGCCTCTCCAGTGAGTATAGCCTGGAGACTCTCCAGGTCCTAATTCTGAGCCTGAATATAACATCTCAGGGACTAGTATTAACAACTGTAGGCACAGACTGGCAATGGCACCCCTGCCCTCTTTCCTGACATGTTAGAAAGGAACCAAGGTCTGAGGGACATGGGGTGTCACTGGGACGGTGTAAGGATAGCCGGTCACTCAGGCTCTATGGATACCTGAGGAAGGAAGTCAGCATGTGTGAGAACAAGTCACCATGACAGAGGAAACTCCTTACCTCTGCAGCCTGATTGTGCCCAGCACATGGATGCCATTGCACAAACAGTGTCGCTAGTAAAGAATAATAGGCTCTAAGGCTTCAGGAAGAGTGGGGCTTATTTAAAGTGGGGTTACAATGGGACCTGAAAACACACAGAGAGGGTCATTAGATTTGAATGCAAGATAGTCATTGCTTTTACCCCTAGCAATGGCCACTAGAGAACTCCAGGATCCCCGATCTATTCTCATACAAAATTTAAAATATAAAAAGCAAGAACAGAGTAGGCTGGAGTTAGTGGAGGGCAGGGGATGGAGCTCAATGGTGAAATATTTGACTAACTTCACAGGGGCCCTGGAAAAATAGTTAATATTTTTTTATGTTTCTCTAGAACTGTGTAATTAACATTTATTTCATATCTGTATGCTATCTCTATTATTGTTCTTATCTCATTTTTTTTTTGTTTTTAGATTGTAAGATTAATGCAGACAGCAAATCTCTAGAGGGCTGTCTGTTCTTGGTAATTAGCAGAGTATTTGACAGTAGAATGTTGCAACAGATAGTTAACTCTTCTGGACAGGTGTTCTATAGAAGAAAAGTGCTAATGACAGCCGATGACATGTAGCAAGGAGCCTAAGACAGACTAAGAAGAAGCTAGTGGCTAGAAACCCAGCTTTCTTCCTTTCAGAGGAAGTCATGCTATGTGTCAAAGTCAGGAGACTTAGTCTCTAGCTTTATCATCATCATCACCATCATCATCATCATCATCATCATCATCATCATCATCATCATCACCAGCAGCAGCAGCAGCAGCAGCACCGTCACCATTACCATTATTTTCAATGTAAAAACATCTCCTAGGACTTTGTTAATATAATATTAGTTTTCTCATCTTATTGGCTGATACGCTATCTAACTTTTTGTTTAACAGTGTCCAACTTGTAATGAATCGCTGCTGGTTGGTCAGCCAGGCCAGTTAACTAGATAGGCAGATAGAGCATGCTAGACTCTAGCAGACCTGTCTATGAGCAGGAAACCACAGCTGTATTTCTAAGTGATCAAAAAACCAGAGAAGCTAGTTAGAACTCAGATCTGAGGAAAAGGCTAGGCACGGGTTTAAGTTCAGAGCATTGACTTGGAAGTAGAGACTTACGTTTATCGGGCTGTTGTTAATGGGTGAGTGAACAGAACTCCATCTATCCACACTCATATTAGGGAACAGGGATTTCCTATAGACCAAGCAGGCCTCCGATGAGCAAGCATAAAAGACAGGACGCCTCTTCTTTCTTTCCTGCCATAAGTTTATACTGGCTTCTTCCTCCTATCTTCCCAGTCGCATTATAAACCACAGTATCTGAACTTGCAGGAAACTCAGAGTCAGGCCTACACCCTACAGCTTTATCTCATTACCACAAATCTATTATGTGGATCAAGAATAAGTGCTGGATTTTATATTCAATGGTCTCGAGTAGGTGTCTGGTAGAAGGAAGTGTTACAGGGTTCTACTATTTAATGATCAAGGAACATCAAGTAAATAAAAGGTGCTTAAAAATAAATACACTACAAATCCCTCAGACGGATGCCTAGTCTCAGCCTCCCTCTTAGAGCCTGGGCTGCCCTTGCAAAGCACTTCAGTGCCATCTCAGTCACGTTCTTCATGCTCTCTCTGCAGTCCTACCATGGCTCTTCCAACAGGACTACCACCAAGCTCCTGCCTCAGTTTACGTGCCAAACCCAGCTTCCAGAGGGCACAGCTGCACCTTTTAACTGAGTATTCCTAGTACCTGGGAAAGAACTGGTCCCTTAGACTTTCATGAATTAATGCAGATTTTGAGTTCATTAATCAAAGGGTCACTATTTGCTTTCTTAACAATATAATTATTTCCATCTGGCACTACCTAAATAACTGAACAGTGCTTCTAGAACCAACATCAAAAGCGCCAGTAGCATTTCTGAATTAGGACTCTCAGCTCAACTTTCCACGGGGACTTGCCCTGAGGTTGACTGGATCATTTGTTATTTGGAGGCTCCCAGCTCTTAGATTCATACTCTAGTTCCTGTTATTTTTACAGTATTAACGTAGACAGCCAGTTTTTATTAGCACAGACAATTACAAATTGAGTATAAGGATTAGAATAAATATGATGTAATAATGGAACAAAAGAGTCCGAAAACATTCGATGCATTCATTGTAGAAACTGGGATCTTCACTTGTAGATTAAATACTTCTAAATGGAACACATTTTATAAAAGGTGTTTTACAAAGTCTGATGATATTACTAACACATCCTGAGCAAGACCTATATAGACTAATGACTGCTATTAATTAACAAGTTTAAATTTTTCTAACTTCATATTTTCAAATTAAATTAATTAATAATTAAAAATAAAATTCATTTCAATTTATTTTCTATAGGCAAAGATAGTTTCAACACACACACACACACACCCATTACTCCAAAGTCACAGTTCATAAAATTACATTTCCATGATTTCATATTTTACACAGACAGTAAGACAAGGTTTCCATTCAGTTACTTTCATCTTAAAAGGATGCTACAAAAGTTCGGAAGAGCATTGAAAAGTTTATTGGAGAAAGGTGTAGAGAGACAACACTGAAGAAAAGGAATAACAACCATGGAGATTCCAGAGAAGATGATGATGGATACACATGTAGTAGACAGATACTGGGGTTGACATGGAGAGTCCAGAGAAGATGATAATGGACACATACGTAGTAGACAGATACTGGGGTTGACATGGAGATTCCAGAGAAGACGATGATAGATACATACGTAGTAGACAGATACTGGGGTTGACATGGAGATTCCAGAGAAGATGATGATAGATACATATGTAGTAGACAGATACTGGGGTTGACATGGAGATTACAGAGAAGATGATGATGGATACATACGTAGTAGACAGATACTGGGGTTGACATGGAGATTCCAGAGAAGATGATGATCAATACACAAGTAGTAGACAGATACTGGGGTTGAGAAAAGGAAGGAACAAAGGACAGTGTTGAGGGGGGCAGTGTTTTGAAAGACAGGAAAGGACGATATAAGTGACCCACGAAGTGCTACTTGGTCTGTCAGCTGGCTTCTTACGGTGCCAGCCTTGTACTTTAAGATCTAACACAAGGCTCTATCCCTAGTCATCCTCAGATCTGTTCATCCTGACCTTCACTAGCACCCGGTGTCTAACTCAGAGCAAGCAAGTGGAGCTGTAAGCTCCGTGGAACACTCTATCCTCTGGTCCTAAATGGCTTCTCGGAGGAGTTTCTGGGAATTCGGTTTCTCATCCCTCAACCAAGTCATCTGCAGGCTTTGGTTGTCTGTTTTAGTCACAGTGCCTTCTGTAATCTTAGGCATTACCTATGGAAATGCTCTGCAACCAGACTTTCAAGTTTCACATTTCAATTTTCATAACTTAGGGAATTTTAGTAATTTTTGTTAGTTTATTGGTGAATCTAGAAATTTTCATTTGCACAATTATTTCTTCCACATACTTTACCAGGTAATTATAAAAATATTTCTACTTCTGTGACGTAAAAAGGAAATTAAGCCAGTCTTCCTTCACTATCAAAATATTAATTTTCTTAATATTTTAGTTAAATACCATCAATAAAACCTACGATTTACACCTATCTGTGTCAAGAGATGAGCCGGAACCTTGTGTTTTTTTGTTTTTTTTTTTAAATCTACACAATCACACATCTACTATGATTGCCATGCCATGGATTCCAATAAATAGGTGCAATGTGGTTTAGGAACTCCACCAAATTCTGAGTTAGTTAGCATGGAACCAAGCTTATGAACTACATATGAGCTGCAGTGTTTACTCCCCAGGATTTAGTACTTATTTGATTTAGAACGCTGTTGTTTCATAAGCTTGTCCTGTAATAAAGACTGTCTAGGGGCTGGGAATGTAGCTCAATGCTAGAGTGTATCTCTAAGATGTGCAAGGACCTGGGTTGAATCCTTTCACCAAACACACAAAAGATGTGAAAACTATGTCTGTATAACTTTTGACCAATTTTCCTGATAATTTTTTCCACAAAGGGAAATATCCATAATAAAATTTATTTGCTGACAAGTAGGATATTTCCTGTAGATACTACAATAGCCACAGGATACAGGACAACCCTGTCTACAGCATCTCTGTAGCACTGGTCTTATTAAAATGAAGTGTAAATGAAGGAAAAGAAAGACTGTTGCATTTCTCTTGGCTCCTAAGGCTGAGAGGGCATCTGTTCTAAGACACATAGGCACAACTTCTGGGTACATCTAAATGCTGGGCTGCTGTGATGATTACGACACTCCCAGGAAGAACCCCAAGTCTCAGTTACTAAGAAAAACAGGTTTGAATGATTTATTTTAGGAGAACGTATACTTTTCTCATTGAACTAACTGCTCGGTTCTCTGCTTCAGTTTGCCTGGACAGGTGAGGGATGGCAAGGCAAGTGATTTTACATTTGCTCCTTTCCTGGCCTTGAGAGGATTGCTAGGAAAAAGAGAAAACTGTCCACTTTCATGAACAAACAATTGATCTCTGTGCAGTGCTGGTGGTTTTGGAGAAATCTTGCATACATCCTAACAATTCCTTTCCTGGTCACACTGACATAAGCTGTTCCTTTTTCTCATTCCCACACAGATGATACTGTTTTACTCTATGTAAATGTAGGGATTGAGTGTAAAACTTCTCAATTCTCTTTAACAGTTAAGAGGAAGACAGAAGAAGAAAATACACTCTTAAGTGAAAATGTCCCGAAGTTGCAAGGAAAAGGGGAAAATTACAGAAGAGCTTCACGAACCACAGACTTGGGCTTTCTCATCTTGTCAGAAAATCTGCACTGTTGGTAAAGCCTGGGGACCTGACTCAGCAGAGAAATGCCACCCACAGTCACCGACTGTCTCCACAGTTGTGAACTCCCCTGTTTTCTCTGGAGGCTTCCCACAGCACAGCAATACTCAAGTCTCTCAGATGGGAAACCGGATTTTGTGAAAACTGAAATGAAACCGTGCTTTATAATATTTAAAGGACTTTTATAGTGACCATGCTTGGAGTTCTGCATGGGTAGAATGTCAGTTTTCTGTTGGATAAATAAAATTAACCGCTTGACAGTTTCAAAATGCCTCAGCTTGCCAGCCCCGTTGCTTTGAATAGTATCTCGCTTCTTTTTAAAGATCACTGCTGAAAGATGAGGGGAAATGGCACCATTAAAAGAGGAAGTACCACAGGTTCAAAGCCTGTTTCCATGAGGTAATGTACATTATTGACTAATCATCAAAGAGATCCTGTCTATACTGAAATGGAGCATGAGGCTAAGGCAGGTGGCTGGGGGGTCAGAAACCTCTTTCCAGCCTTCTTGCATCACTTCATTGCTGAAGCCAAAGGGTTAGATAAAGATCAATGGAAGTTTGCTGATCTGACACAAGAACTTTTGCTTACTGGAATGGAAGCTACAGAACTGAGTTCATCTGCATGGAGCTGCAGGTCTCATCCATTTGCAAAAGCAGCATCTCTCTCTCTCTCTCTCTCTCTCTCTCTCTCTCTCTCTCTCTCTCTCTCTCTGTGTGTGTGTGTGTGTGTGTGTGTGTAGGTGCACATGTGTGGATCCTGCAGGAAGTTAAAACTTAATAATCTTCTGAATTATTTCTGTGTAGACATATTTCCTCTGCCTCTAGAGTGCTGGGATTAAAGGCGTGTGCCACCACCGCCTGGCATATTTCCATATAGCTATTATTGCCTTTTTTTCCCTCTAAAAGGAAATAGTTCAATTTAGTAATTAGAACCCCAGGAAAGTCAGGTTGTTTCATGTTAGGTTGTTTGCAAACTGAATGGGGGATTCTAATGACACACAGATTTCTTCCCCTAATCAGAACCTACCAATTTATTATCATACAATTTACTACTATTTTCTCTAATATAAGTAGAATTTCTCCTATTTGCAAGAACTTGACTATGGAACCGTTTCCCTGGGCTTCGATCACTTGGTTTCTGATGGCTGGACAACTGGTGCTTGGATCTGGGAGCCAGTGGTCAAGTGTAGACTTCAGAACTACTTGTTTGCTGCACCTACAATCAGAGAAAGGCCCTTTCCCCATCACAGGTCAGCTATGCTGTCCTTACAGTTCGAAATAGGTGTGGTTCCGGACTAACATCAGTGATTTAGAAATGCTATTTTTCCCCAGTGGCAATATACATTGTGGGTGTGTGACTGGAATATTTAAAACACCTGCTGTCCTGGAACTGAGCCAAATGTATAATACATTAGCACATGCTTGGGTCACTTCCAACAGCATGTATCATACTGCCATCAAAATACTGAGGGAGCTGGCATAGAGATACTTAAAAGTTTCACTAGAAGCAATTTAGGATACACATGTATTTTTATCATTAACAGGCTCACCATACTAAGCACCACAGACTAGTTCGGATTTGAATGAAGTCAATTGTTTTTGAATCAGAACGGAATCGGCAGCATCGGAGGGTTACTCTCTGTGCCAGCTTTGCCAATTACTCTCATAGTCCTTTAAAGCCCAGTCAGTCTTTTTGCCTCCCACCTCCTCTCTCACACCACGCTCCTGTCTGATTGTCCTCTTCTTTGGGTGCACGTAATTCAAAAGGCAAACCAGGGGTTGGGTTGCAACTCTAACCAAGTTTGCTAACAGAAATTGGTCTAGGTATTCTGTTTGATGGATTTCTCCTTTTCAACATTATTTTGATGTTCTTTAATAGAATTAGTTTTTTTTTGTATGTATCATCCTAGTTTTAAAAGTCAGTATACTGTCTGTCTGAAGAATTTCATTAAATAACATTTATCCATCTATTATGTACAGCACTTCTCAAAATGATTTCATTTCCTGTGCTGAGGATTCAACTCAGGTCCTTGAACACAGTAAGGTAGGTAGGCTACCACTGAACTACATCAATAGCCCACAAAATGACATTTTAAAGATATAAAAACAAAATAAATACTGTAGATTTCAGTGCTTAGAAGGTGTGTATGTGTGTGTGTGTGTGCGCGCACACGAGACAGAGAGAGAAAGAGTGAGTGAGAGAGAGAGAAAGAGTGAGTGTGTGTGTGTGTGTGTGTGTGAGAGAGAGAGAGAGAGAGAGAGAGAGAGAGAGGTTTTAAAAATTGCCTAAGAAGGAGCAGCAAGAAAAGAGATGGTGTGGCATGTCTGAAGATTATGCACCCTACACGTGCTAATGGCGAAGTGCATTCCTTGTTAGTCTACACAGAAAGACCAAACATGAAGTTACAACTTAGAAAGCAGAATTTCAGTGGAGATTTTGAAGCATGCCCAAGGTCACAGTTAATGCAAGTATAGAAACATGGTTTATGTGACTTGCCATTTTGTATCTGCCTCTTGTCTCACACTAGCCAGTGTGGTGGTGAGAAAGCTGGACTTTCAGCCTTCAGACTTCCCATAGCACAGAAAGCTTAAGGGATTTCAGTTTTTGACAGTATGTATGGAATCCTGATCTGTTTGTGTAGTCATTAAAATTGCACATCTTTCCCTAGGAGATTCCAAGTTCTTCAATTTAATGGACAGATGCTTAAAGAGCTTCAAGTATGTGACCTGTCGTCTCTATGATTTTTCTGCATCCTATATATGACAAATGGACCTCAGAGAAATGCACGTGTATATTATCAATGTGAACTGAAGTCATGCATTAAAAAGTGTCTTCTGTACAATCACAGATATTTACAGGGTGGCTGAAACAGCTTGCAATATAGGCACACAGGAAAAGGTTTTAGATTTTCTAACATGCATGCACATATATTATTTACACATATTAAAATAATTTAGCACTTTTTTTTCATTCTACTGCTTCTATTTTGAGGTAGTTAACTTTAGTCACCCCTTCCCTAAGTTTCCTTTATGCTATTCTCTTGCTCTAGTCCACAGTATCTTTTTCAGACCTATTTTCATCCCATGTAACTGCACACTAAGCACTCAACGCTCCTTGCATCTGACTCCTTCCCCTCAGCTATCTTACAATCATTTTCGTGTCTCTTTCTGTATGGGAGCACTCTATTCACAGCATGCTAATGCTTCTCATGCCTTCTCCCCTTCTCATGACGCATCGGAGCACTCTGCTTTTGAGAAGTCTTCCTTACAACCTCTTCATCAACTCACACCCCCTTTCTACATTGGACTCTTTTTGAACCTACAATTAAAATCATGATATTCTGCGGTTTGAATATTCTGCTTCCTACTAGGTAGTAGTTTATCACATGTATCATCGTCATTACTGTCATCTCCATTAGAAGTTTTACTATGAGCCAGACACCTGCTCCAAGCATGCAAAAATGTTCATACTTTGAATTGTCACATACTTTGAATTATTATTAATCCCATTTGCGAACGATGATTTAGGGACATAGAACCTAAACAGTCTTCTCAGGGACATACAATTATTCACGGAGCTGAGAGAAGCTAAGAACTCAGGCTAGATTCAGAATGGGAGTTCTCTGACTCACGCTGTGCTGCCCCCATGAAATATCCCACAATTCTTCCTGTTTTGTTTTGTACCGTTGATTCCAGTGTGCACTTTCTACATTAGCTCGATGGTTTTGTGCAGTTACAGACCATGTTGCTCAAACTTCTCTCTCTTGCCTAGTACTGCTGATTTCTGTGCTTACTCAGAATCTAATAATTATTGCTTGAATTAAAAAAAACTACAGTCAAAGGTGAAAATTTAAACATGCACACCAAAAGATAATTTTTAGAATTTTATAGCAAAATATAATTAATATCCTGAGTGCATTAATAATCCACAAAATAAATCCAATTTAATTGATTATCCCTGATCAAAATGGCCATATTGCTTTACTCCTGTTAACGGTGCTCTATTGTCATTATAAGCATCTGCACACACAAAAAAGAGGATTTTTTTCTCGTTCAAACCAACCTGCTTGTTTTATTTTGACTTCTGTTATAGATAAATAGTCCTGAAGTTGTTTCAGGTCCCTACAGATTAGGAGGTAGTCAAATCGATAACAACTACATAATACATAAAGGATGGATGCAAATTTTATTGCAAAGAAATTAATAATTAATTCATATCTGTTTACTGTAACAAAATTTTGTTGTCAGCTCTTTCTGGCTTCACAATGCTTGAGTCAAGATTGATAAATTATATATGAAAATATGACTGTTTAAGGGCAAAATGCCGCTAACATAATTATATTTTGTGATGTTTACGAATGTCACAGAAGCTATTGTACACAGAAACTCAGGCACTGTTCCTTCTGCACTCTAGCATAGTGAATGTAGTTAATATTATAGTATCTAGCAATATTGAATTTTTTATGTCAACAATTAAAAAGACAATATTTTCCACATTGCAAAGACTTTGTTGAATAGTAAAAAAAATGATGAATATTTTAATGTCAAAGATAATCATTGCCAAAGTTTTTTTTTATCCTACATAGCACAAATAACGGAACAATGATAATTTTGTTTTAAAGTATATATGTAAAAGGCTTTGTCCCTAGGATACTGCTCTGAGTGGCTCACTATCTAGGTTGAAAATGGTTATGCAGGATTGCATGTCCTATTTTTCCATGCCTGCAGTAAAGATACAATATGGGAATTCAGCTTGGTAATTACTAATACACCACACAGACACAATTACACCCTGTATGCTGCATAAAGGATTCACTTGTGGTCTGCATCCATTACAAAGAGCGGTAGGGGGCCAACATGCAAAACGACAGAACGCTTTACAAGACGGAAGGAGACCAGAGGAGTCCATGTGCACAGATACAAGGACCTTGATTCTTCTAGCAATGATTTAAGCCTCTTTCCATCAATTAGCGTCCTTTGTCTCAGGAGCCTTAGCAGCATTACAGGAACTGAAAATAACAATGCTCAGACCCATACAACCCTTGACCTGTGCTGACATTTCCACACCCTGTTGCTATGTTTGACCTGGTTATTCAGATTACTTAACCAAAGGAAAATGGCGTGTATGTGTGTATGTGTGTGTATGGGGGGGGGGGGGTGAGAGGGGGTGGGGAGGCATTACCGCAGCAAAACCAGGCTGTGTACTTGTTTTAAAAAATAGCTTACTCAGAATGCCATTTCTTAAGACAGAGAGCCGTCTTCTTCTAGAGGTGTTATTTTTTGAGGTAGTTTTATTCCATTTTAAAAATGAAAAAAAAAAATCTGCTTGGGTGAAGATAACTCAAAGAAACTGATTAAATAGGAACTGTCAGGGGACACATTCCGTCAAGAGTGTCCCGCCTCTAAGGGACTGAAGCAAAGTCAGTCAGCTGCTCTCCAGCCACAGTGAGTCACAGAAGTAATTTCTTTTCTGCGAAACTTTTAAAGTTCTGAGTTTAATTGCAAGCAGTAAGTAGGGTTTTTATTATAACAGAGTTTCCTGTTAATTATTACATGATGTACATTATTTTACAACATTTTCCTTTAAGAATCTTTTTTTCTCTTTTTTTAAAAAAAACTTACAATTATGAATTTTTAAGACCTTAAAAAAAGTTACTGTGGCAGCTTGTCAGGTTCTGTGAAACAAAGCCTTGTCTTTCAGAAAATGTTTACAATCTATGAAGGGGAAAAAAGTATCCTGGGGCTAAAATGTTTACTGGCACCTGGAAGTCTGAAGAGAGAGTCCGGCCTGTGGTTTCTGGAGGGCACTTTATCATGGCCTGTGTTCCCAAAGGTTTCTCTGAATGAACAGAACTGGATTACTCAGCCTTCTATTCCACGCCTATTCCTCTCCATTTTCTTTGGCACGACGGAGAGCCAGGCTATTTTTAGTTAAGCAGTTTTCTATTTTTAGACAACTGCCAGTTAGAAGACATTTGTTAGGAAAAAAAATTTAAACACACACACACACACACACACACACACACACACACACACACACACACACACACGGAGGACGGAACGGAGCCTCTCCCCACGTACTGAGAAGCAGGCCTTCAACCTGCAACTGCAGGCATTTCAGCTGCTTTCAATCTTGGAAAAATAAAGAAAAATTCAGAGTTCAGGGTTTTAAAAATAAACCTACCCTCTGGCTAACAGACCATAATACAACAAGCTGTTACTATGTGAAGCAGTGACTATAGAAACAAAGAACATTCTCCAATGATTAAACTAAGAGAAAAAGTTGAAGAGCGATTAGGTTATAGGAATGTTGCACAAGTATGTAACACTTTTCCAGCCCTTCAGCCAAAGGATCCTGTTTTAGAATTACGGGGTGGAGGGACTCCTCTGTCAAGTTAACAAGGGTGTGGGGTACAACGGCAAAGCTGAACTTTTTCATCAAACTTGAGGCAGATACACACTGTAGTTTGCTAATGTAGTCTATGATATTTTTCTGAAATTATAACCACCTGTTTATAGAGAAATTCTATATTTAAAAATTTAACCCAATGGGAAATCAGACCCTGACATATCCATAGCATAGATAAACATAGTCTATAAATACATTTTAGGTCTCTACGTCACTGCATTTATATATTCATTTAATAGTTAAATGTATATTGAATGTCTGTAAATCATTAGTCTCACTTTTACTTTAAATGGGAATAAATGACTTGCAGACCTGTTTAGCACATCAACTTATCAGTCTACTTATCATTCAAGGTCACACTTTCGTCTAAAATCTACCATGAGGGGCTGGAAAGATGGCTCAGCCGGCAGTTAAGAGCATAGACTGCTTTTGTGGGACTCACTTTTGGTTTCCAGCAGCCACATCTGGTGGCTCAGAACTTCCTGGAACTCCAGCTCCAGGGGATCCATCGCATGCAAATATCACCACTCCATAAACACACGATTGAAAAACAGAACCCTTTACTCTTTCTTCACTCTGACACCCCTTGGGGTGCTCCCAGTGGTCATTTTCTCCCCCTTAGCCTACTCCACTGGTAGTCATGGTCACTTCAGTTCAGGTCACCGGGCTTTACCGTGGTCACGATCGCGTCTCCAGCAGCCAGCAACACGCTTGGCATGTGGACTTCACCTTCACCATTATCTGCTGAGCGAAACAGCAAACACTGTGTATGTTTTGTCCACACTAGACTATCCGTTCTGGGGTGGGGACAGTGAACATGTCACAGTCATTTTATTTCCCAGGACACTTAGCACCACATCTTACACATTTATTTTCTAAATACTTGGGGGAAAAAAATAAACAATACATTGACTTTTGTTTAAATTTTTATTTTTTTTGTGTGTGAAAGGTTAGCTCTTTATACTAATGTATTATTAGTATAAAATATTATATATCTTCAAGTTAAGAACTTCTTGTTTGCTATCTTTTTTTTTTTATTTCCTGAACTTTCTCCTTGGCTTTCAAAGTACAACCAATTTTTACAACTGAACAGTTTACAACAGGCTCTGACATCTTTTATAACTCATAATCCAAATTACAGGCCCGGGGAGAACTCTATGGAAACAGTACTCAAGGGAGGGGCCTGCAGCCTAGAAGTTATGGTATTGTCTCCAGTCAACAATGTTTTGGGGTGCTGGGGATCAAACTCACGACCTGCCACCTCAACTATGGTAAGTGTATAGTCTAACACTGAACTACATCCCCTTGAAATGAGTTTTAAACTTTTATCTTTAATCTCAGTTGGTGGGGCCTTAGAATTTCTACTTCTGAAAATTAAAATTAAAAGGTGAAACTTCGTAAAAATGTTCCCGAATGCAAAAGTGACGGCCCAGCTTCTGTTTCTTTACATGAAATGAACTCCGGACAACCACAGTTAAGGAGAAGCAGTGGTGTGGGTGTATGTCTTTATTAGGTTGGGTCCGATCACCACAATGCCAGCTATCTCAATGGTCTAGAGTGCTAACTCACCAATACACCTCCTACTGTCCATAGAATGTTGTGATGATGCATGGCTATGTATGAGATCACAACCGCATTTGGCTCTTGAGTATTTCCAAGTATATCCAGACAGTGAGACAGAAGAGCTGAGCTTTTATTTAATGTCAATGTATAGAAGTATGTAAGGTTACTTCACTTACTGGTCATTGCTGACCTATTTCAGCTCATCTAAAATTTGGTTCTATTATCCAGGACAATTCACATGAATGACAGAAATGACTCCATTTATCATCATACCATAGATGCTAAATGTAGAATTTATTTAAAAATGTATACATTAGGACAGAGGATATAGCTCAGTAAGAGAGAACTTTTCCAAAAAAAACAAGACCTTGGGGTTGGACTCCTATCATCATTGTCATAAATACACACACACACACACACACACACACACACACACACACACAAAAAAAAAAAAAAAAAAAAAAAACCAAACAAACAAAAGACCAAAACCCCAAACAAAACAAAAACCAAACTATATATAACAACTTTGAAAAATATTGTGTTTCAGAAATTGAAAGGGTAACATGGATTAGTTTTCAGCTAGGGTCACGGTAACCTCAGTTTTCCTCTCTATGAAATGGTCTTCTCGCTATTATAGGCATGGCATTTGTTTCTAAATAAAGGGAAATGTGCATGTAACTTTGAAAAATATAGCATATAGTTCAGAAATTGAGGAGTTACCATTATTAACTCATATATCTACTCATTGAAGTAATTTTTTTGTGAGAATAAACAAACACTCATTTACAGTTACTGTTTATAATGCTTCCTCCCTTCGAGCAGTAGGCCCTAAGTAGTCACTGAGTCTATTTACTAAAGCATAAAGATAAGAGATTTAATTGATATGAAGAGGCTTTCAGAATCTAATTAACCTCCCAGTTAGTCATTAACTCTATGACCTTTAGAGATAATTGACAGAAAGTTTCTTTTCCTTATTCAGTCCCTCTGAAGTGGCTGAATTTCAGGGTAACATGAAACATGCTGGGAACACCAGTGAGATGTAACAGGATAATGTGGCAGGTAGGTGGTTACTGGTGAAATCCAGTGTTTCTGATAACACAGTCTACCCATCTACTCTGTTGTGTCTACATGCACCACTAATGGACTTACACTTCTTTTTTTAAACATAATTTTTTTATTGATTCTTTGGGAAAGTTACAGTTCTTTTAATGATTGGGTTTCATTATCTTTTTCAGACTGTCTTAAGGATTCTTATGACCACAAGGACAATGAAAACAAAGGGAGAGGGGCTACCTGTCCTCCTGAATCACCCCAACCAATCACATTACACTTCTCCAGCTAGTTTGGACTTGGACCCAGAAACCTCCTCACCCGCTCTAGGAAGGCTCTACCAAACGACTGCTCACAGAGGAAGGGAGCATAGAGCAATGCCTAAATGTCCTGCTTACCCTAAGTATGGCTTCCCTGCTGAGTCATAATGGGCATTAACAAGGGCACTGCCTGAAAAAGCCAACTCTGTTGCTTGCAAGAATTAGTTCTGTTGATTACCAGTTTAAAGAAATATTACTGATACTATGCTAAGATTCTATTTTATAATGTGACTGTAACCAGGAAAAGTACAAAAGAAGAAATTTTGCACAGTTAAACTTTCAAACTCCATTCAGAAGACAAGAAGTGTTCACGAAGATCAGCATCAACTGGAAGCATGTTAAAAATACACAGTCCAATGTCACACTTAGACCCATCCCATTGGAATCAACCTTTTAGGAAGACACTTCCAGTAACACAAGACTGGGCCAGAAGCAATCTGACCCATTGATCCTTCTTGCTCCATCCAGGTGAAGGCCCTGAAGTTTATCCTTCCCTAGGAATCAACAGACCTTGGCCTAGAAGCCATTTCGTTTTCCTTGCTGGAGCTGGAAACAATATTTCTCCTAGGTTTCCTCTATCTTTTAAGTTTTAATGTGTATCTGTATGGGTGTCTGTTTCGTGAATAAGCGCACGCCTGTGTGTAAGGGCACATGTGCACAATGCACCTGTGACGGCTACAAAGAAATTTTGGCTCTTGTTTCTCAAAATCCGGCTTGTTTTTGGACAGGGTTTTACACTGGGATTTGAATCTCGCTGACTAACGGAGCTGGTTTGACCTCTGCACTGTGGGCATTTACCCATGTGCTAGGGATTGAATTCAGGTACTCACTCTTGCACAGAGAACATTTTACTGACCGGGCCATCTTCCCAGCCCAGATTTTGTTTTCTGATGGAACAACAACTTTCATTCATCTCTAGTCCACGCAAAGAAGAAGTCACTTTTTTTTTTTTTTTTTTTTTTTGGTTTTTCGAGACAGGGTTTCTCTGTGTAGCTTTGCGCCTCTCCTGGAACTCACTCGGTAGTCCAGGCTGGCCTCGAACTCACAGAGATCTGCCTGGCTCTGCCTCCCGAGTGCTGGGATTAATGGCGTGCGCCACCACCGCCTGGCAAAGAAGTCACTTTTAATTGTTAGGGCAGATCAAACTTAAACAAAAACATCTTCAAACACTTCACTTACACTACAGTGACCATCAGTAAGTTGATGTATATTGAATGTCTATAGTATGTTAGCACATGGTCCTCAGTCAACAGAAAACTAGTTGTAATTTAAAAAACAAATTAAAAAAAAGAAAACAAAAAACCAAAACTCTCCAGTAACACAATCCATATATTAAAATAACAAACATTTCTGTTATGAGAAGAGCCATTGTCTTTTATTCTGATTTTAGGCAGACAGAATTATTCCAAAAACATCACTTTTGATTGGGTAATAAATCTGGGGAAAATGTTCTACCTTTCGATACTTGATTTGGTACTTTTATAATTCAAGTAAGGCAACATTATTTGCCTATTATCAACAGCCAGCATACTCTCCTTGGTTCAAATATGCTGCAACTGTCAGGTCCTACACGCTACAAAACATGTGAATATCACCAAAAATGGATGATTCTGATCTAGGCTAAGTGCCCCACCCCCTTTTGGCTTCTAGGTATTAAAAAAAAAAAAAGAGAGATGAGGACTTTGGCTTTCTACAGTTGTAGGAAGTTCAGTTGAAAAGGTAACAGCGACAAGATGGTACTGACTAACACTGAGGAAGAAGTTAGTCCTGACAAAAGGCTGTGCTCAGTCCTTTCTGCTCTGACTATTCCTGGTTCTCCGATGGCTCTGTTAGTCTTGATACTGTAAAGCCACCAGGGCTGTGAAGTAAGAGAGCAGAGGAAACTCAGTTTTACTTCCTTATGCATATAATTTAAGCAATCTAACATGCACACTTTTGTTCAGCAATTATTTTCTTAATAAATGAGATGCAAAGCAGATTTTTATGTTTATAAAACATATGCAAATGAAATAAAAGCACTATTTTAGAAAAATAGCTTTTCAAATCTGATGTATAAAAACCTTTGTAGTCAGCTGAGTGGTGGTGGTGCACGCCTTTAATCCTAGCACTTGGGAGGCAGAGGCGGGCAGATCTCTGTCAGTTCAAGGCCAGTCTGGTCTACAGAGTGAGTTTCAGGACAGCCAAGGCTATACAGAGAAACCCTGTCTCAAAAAAACCAACCAACCAACGAACTAGCCAAAAAAACAAAACAAAAAAACAAACAAAAACCATTGTGGTATAGTTATGAGAAATATGAATATACCGGACCTGTAGTCTCTCTTATTAGGATACACACAATTATAATTTCCAGGTCTTAGTAAAGTTTTTAAAGATACACACACAAAAATGAAAATATAAAAAATCTCTTACGAAATTCAGTTCATTTCTTTGTCCTTGGGAAGCTCAACATAGAAGGTTTAAATATTTATGGGCGAGGCTAATATTTTGTTAATAATTTAGATAATCTATTGAAAACAAGTCTATACTTGTTTTAATATACGGCAGCGGAGGCTTCCTGAATCATTAGCCACATGAACTATCTCAATTACGTTTCATGGTAAATCTATGAAATACTTATAATGCAAATAAAGGATAATATTTCTTTATATTTCTTCATAAAGAGTACTTTTTCAGTGGAAAATACTAATTACAAAGTTAAGCAGTGGTTCAATGTTGCATCAAGCAAATTTAAAATGGTAACATAAAAGATCCACCACCTTCCAGTTAACAAGCTTCAGGATAAAAACAAAACATAACCCCACACCCACAACCCCATCCACATGGTCAGTGCTCCCCTATGGCCTAGACCACTCGCAGGTGTTTTCCAACAAGGCTAATCAGGGAGGTTACTGGTTGACTGTGGTTACTGGCCTGAGGTACGATGTGTGTCTAGTTTTACCAACTATTGAGTTTCAAACTGATGTCTTTTGTAGAAGAACGTTTGCACTCCATATTCTAAAATTATAGTACTGGAACTCTACAGCACAGCCACTTCTGAAATGTACCCCTCACACATTCATGTTGAAGAATAAAATTACGATGAATTGAAGAATCCATCTTGATGTTAGTTTGAGAGTAGAGTTAGGTAAAACACTCTCTCTTCACATCTCAGTACAGACCAGTGTGGTCTCTCTGACCTTTTGTGATAACCAATGGGTCAGGATCTTCCCTGTTCAACACTGTAGCCACGAGCCCACTCATGGCCACAGAGCACTTGAGATGTGGCCACTGCTACTGAGGAAATGAATCATAAATTTTACTGAGTTTTGTTTCACTTAATGTGAAGAGCCCCACATGGCTAGTGGTTGATATAACGAGCTAGACAGTGATTTAAAAAAAAAACTTAGAAATATATGAGTACTGTGTTTTTTTGTTTTTGTTTTTTTTTTTGGAGCTGAGGATGGAACCCAGGGCCTTGCGCTTGCTAGGCAAGCACTCTACCACTGAGCTAAATCCCCAACCCAAGTACTTTATTTATATTATTCCTCTTCTCCTTTTCTACCCTCCAACTCATCTTATATCACTCCCCCTTATAAAATTTATGGCATCTTATTGAAGGAAAAGATTATTCATACATGCACATACATGTATGAACAAATACATGAATACAGCCTACTGAGCTCCTCTAGTGTTGCCTGTATGTATACGTTTTTAGAGCTGACCATTTCGTATTGGATAACATACTTGAGGGCTCATTCTTGGGGAAGACTGATTCTCCCTCTCTCAAAAGTCATTAATTGGCCGGGCGGTGGTGGCGCACGCCTTTAATCCCAGCACTCGAGAGGCAGAGCCAGGTGGATCTCTGTGAGTTCAAGGCCAGCCTGGGCTACCAAGTGAGTTCCAGGAGAGGCGCAAAGCTACACAGAGAAACCCTGTCTCGAAAAACCAAAAAAAAAAAAAAAAAAAAAAAAAAAAAGTCATTAATTGGCTATAGATTTTCATCTATGGGTGGGGCCTTGTGAGATTTCCCCCATTCATGTTGCCATGTCAATCACTCACACTCTTCAGGTCTTACTTAAGCAACTATAGTATGGGTTCAGCTTCCTTGTCACATATAGAGGACACAAGCTTGTAGCAGATGTCTCAGTCCTCTGACTCTATCCATCTTCCTCTTCTGTGATGTTTCCTGAGCTTTAGGTGTAGGGGTTGTGTTGTAGATGTTATTTGTTGGGGCTTGGTACCCTATTGCCAGTTGTTCCCTGCATTATGACTAATTGTGAATTTCTATAATGGTCTCTGTCATAAACTACTTCACTGGGATATGAAAATAATGTTTTTATACTTTAAATGAGTCATACTATTCTTTGGCAATGACTTGATATTGTGTGTTTATTTTCTGTCTGCTTATTCCATTAAATGCATTCTGAGGACCTATTACTCTTCAGACTTTATGATAAATGCTGGTGCTGATGCTCATAACCAGTCACAGTCCCTGCCCCTCAGGAGTTTCAAATCTAGTGTGTTACCATTAAGGAGGTAATCATGTCAATAACTCCAAGGTGGAAGACAGAGCATAAGATGCCTAGGATACAGGGAATGTACTCAATACAAGGCATGACTCATGATTTGGGACTTTACTTGAAGTAAAGACAAGTAAAAGTCAAAGACCTAGAACCAAAACATGAAGACAAAGCAAATGGAGTGTAGAAAGGTTGTGTGTGGGGTGAATACTTGTTGTGTGTCTGTAGCACAGAATGGGAAGTGTAGGGCAAGGTCAACTGGGTGATAAGCAAAGGCAGATGGGAAATGGCCGGGTCACATGACTTTGTGCGCCCCTTTAAGAAGCCGGAGTTCTCGAGTTGCTCTGGTTACATTTGCACTTCAGGCCTTCCATGGCATGTAGCACACAGCAAGAACTCGACAAATCTTTGTTTGGTGAATGATTGAAGGAATGGTAGGCCAGAAACTGCCAAACAAGTCAGTGAATGTGTTTTTCTGCTAAGTGCTTGTGTGTAATATAAGCCTATGGTACCTGCAAAGTTTATAAATCTATATTTTGTAATTATGAATTATATTGGTTTAGCTATATTAGAGGGTCAAGTGAACAGGTAGTTTTTATATTTTGCACCCAATCTCACATTTTGTAATACTGACCTGTAAAGAGGTCCAGTTCTACCTTCTGTTGTACTTATTTGCCAACAAAAATTGTACTCATCAATCTCTACCCAGTTCTGCAAGAGCAGTTAGACTGTGTACAACCTTGCAGCAGTACTGTGAGGCAACAAAGGTTAAAAGTTATTTTAAGGCCTTGGAAGTCCTAATTTAGGCCCTAGCTGTTACTGCGCTTACTGGGTAAAGAAACATTTTAATGTAACAATGGCTCCCAGGTGTCTTTAAATTCAAGCAGGACTCAGGTGACAGCCTCTGTCTGTCTGTCAACTGTCTGTCTGTCTGTCTGTCTCTCTCTCACTCACACAGAGGTGGGAGATTCATTGATCAGCCTTGCTTCTAAAAATAAAAGCCAGTGTTTTCTACTGAGACAGCTGTGACGCTACGGTTCCTTTTTTATAATAGGTGCTATATTCATCTCTGTATTTCCCAGGGAGCAGTGAAGGACCTTGGATTTTGGTCCTGTTTACACAGAATGACTGGACTTCTGGCCCAGACTGGATGACCATTCCACAGAACAACGGAGTGGTGAGAGGCTCCTTGTTGGCCAGGTTCTAAGTTCCCTCACACCTGGGCTATAAAGCATAAACATATAAACATAAGTTTAGCAGATGTGAAATGGACATGGCGGTTACTATTAGTCCAGGACTCTGTTATTCCAAGGATCACTTGTAGTATTCCGGAGAACACATGTGCTGTCGTGGAGTGTTGGTGAACTGTGAGTTTCAGCAGTTGAGGTGGCATTTATGGGGCACTGCTCCTTTCCCTTCCAATTG